ACTCGGTGTTCTTGGTGGTTTTGGTGGAGGCATTGTAAGCAGCGTACGTGATGAAGTCGTTAGAGGAAGGGTTTTCAATAGCTACATGAGCAGATACTGAATTCAAGTTAGTTGGAGTGGTCTGGTTTGAGTTAGCCATCATTGCTTGGTATCGTCTAGCCATTTCTTCAGTAGAAAGTGAGCTAGAATCTTTGGTGTTATTTTTCTTTTGAGTGTGGCACTGCTCGTTGGTGTGTTTCGAGTTTGGGTGTATGTGACATAAGTCTTTTGGCAGTTTTCCAACTCGTCGGTTATCAGTTCTTGCAGGTTTTCGGGATTTGATATGATATACTTCTTTTGATTTTTCTTCATTTCCAAGAGTAGAGCTAGCCTCAAGTCTGAGTCGAGCACATACATCACTTGTGGTGATTGTCTTAATGTTCGAGAGGAAATGTTGAATGATGAGACCAAATTCATTCCGAGGGAGGCTGTTAACTAGTAGTATAGCAAATAGTCTGTCGGAGAGTTGTAAGTCTTTGTCACCCGCAGTTAGATCGCGAATTTTGCTGTGTAAGTCTTGGATTTTTGCAATGTAATTAGTGATACCAATGGAATGGTCGTATTTCAGACTGAAGAGTTCGGTGAGGGTGTTTGCGGTGACAATACCATTGTCAGAACCGTGTTGCGATACGAGAGTTTCGAAGGCTAGTTTTGGATCTTCGAGTGATTCAATAGATGCTAAGTTGGCGGAGTCAATAGTGTTACGTATAGCGTATAGCGTTGCTGCTTGTCGCATATCGTATTTGGATCGTTCTTGGAAATCGGATGGGCGTTTGATTTCTTGTTCAATAAATTCGTAGAGGCCATTCATTTTGAGATAAATCTTTAATTCAGTTTTCCATGCGAAAAGATTTCCCATAGTTAATTTAGGAATCGATGATATTGCCGAGGTGCTGAAGTTAGTGGTTCCCGAGTTTGAAGTCGACATGTTATAGGTAACTGGAGGTTCGGTTGGTTTGGTGTCGTCGCCTTTCGTCATAGAGAGAGAGAGCGAGAGTGGTTTGTAGGTATAGTTATTTAGTGCCTTTGATGGATCAAAGGGTAGTGTAAGTGTATAGAGGGCGCGTCTGGAGCGCTGGGCTCATAACCTATAGATGTAAAGCGTCGTGTCACACAAGCGAGAACAGCTAAACCAGAGCTGTCACTTGAATGAGAAGAGATGCGAAGATGAGAGTGTCACGAATGGAATACTCCGAAGAGTGAAAGCAAAGATGAATCTAATGATGTTATTAATTTCTAATGATCAGAGAGAGAAATGAATACAAGCATTCTAGATACATTATATACAATTTGCTTTAACGCTGAGAAGTGGCTCAGGAACTGAGTTCTTACAATTAGAACTCAAGGAAAGGACTCAGCGTATAGTCATTCTATCTGAGTGCTGAATCGCAGGTAAGTGTCGAGTACTCAGTGATACGCATTGTGTATCAACAATATGGTACCTTGAGGATTCATAGCCTTTCATAGCCTAGTGAGAGTGAGTCCTCCATACAAAGTTCAAACGCGGAGTGAACTTAGAGATATAAATATGTGTACCGAGGTTGCCTCAGCCTGCGTAGATAGTTACAGCATCGCAGCAATATACATTACGACAGCTCCAGATACCAGAGTCTAGATAGTCAACGGTTGAGCTGATCGACCATATAGAGCTAGGCAGAGCTTCAATCGTGGATTCGTCCATCCTTCTTCAACTCTCGAATCGAACCACCCATCACCGATTGTGACGATTCTCAAGTTCATTGGCAACTTCTAGGCTCCGACCGCTTCAAGCATCCTTACGAATCATAACTTTAACCCGGAGCTTGGATTCACATCGTTTTCAAGTCTTCTGCCTGCAAGTAAAAATACTCTCCGGCGACCTCTACCTCCTTCGATCAAGACTGGTTCATCTCGTCGAATTTTGGTATAAGTGAGGTCGAGACCCAGTATATCATGTGATGGCATGCTGACTTCCTCGTCTTGATCGCATCATTAGATAACTCAATTCGCCGCTTTTGAACCACACCAAGATCAGTGATGATGGACTCTGACCAACAAACTGCTTCCGGATTTCGTTACGTCGCACCCGGTGCGATTTCCATTGGAAAAATTCCTGCGCCATCCAGCATCATTGCCAATCCAACCCGCTTCAACGACTTTCAATCCGCCCCTTCTCCTGAATCTCAACTTCCCATACCTGAGACGTCTTTGCAGGGTTCAAATGCATCGTGCTTAGCGACACATTTTTCGACGATACATAATGCTGTCCAAACCGCACATGATAACTCCGGAATGGAAGCGATCACCTCCATGTCGCGCCATCTGACCCCTGCTACAATTACAGGTCGGCCGTCCTGCTCATCAAATTTGGATATATCTCGCAAAGCCGTTCATTCAGGTCAAGCCCTCATTCAACCACTTTTTTGCTGTGCACTCGAGTCTAACTTCCCATCCGCAGGCTTTAGTCTTGATCAACCATCATCTCGTCAGTCATCAGCCGGTGCATTCGCCTATATGATGAGCTACTGATTTACAATCTATTACTACATAGGCAACTCCCTGGCATCAGGAACCTTATCATCTCAAACATTGAAAACAAAAACACGGGATTGGGTCAGCCTTGGATCCTCTAAACAATCCCGGCTTGAATTACTCAGTCAGTCTTCCCCCGAACCACGCCTCTCGTATTACTTTCCAATTGATGGATATCTGGGATCCGTGTTCAGGTGACGATGGGCCCCTCGAACAATCCGATCAAGGCTCAGGTGCATATCCTTTGCACTGTACCATACATAAGTCAAAAGCCAATACCTTGCCTCTTCCTGATGTTTTGCGTATCAGCCGCTTTCCAAACAGTGCAATTGGCCCCCTCTCACGCAATCACACGTAACCCAGAGCTGAGCTCCGAGCATTTGGCAAACACTTCCGTTCACCACCCATTTGATACACCAATGCCATCATGCAATCAACTGGCCGCGCCAAGGACCCCCAGTCCTTCTGCTCTACAAAGTTGTACCCTTACAAGAGCTCTGAGTATGTCCCCTCATTCGCAGTCTGGCTTGATTCTCGTCCGCCAACTAAACTCGTAAAACGCTGTGAATCAGGTCACCTGGCTCCAGAGATCTTGGCCGCCTCCCCCAAGATTTTCACTGTGGTTTCATCCGGTGATGAGCGTCGTGATCTGACTTCGAGTGTCAATCTGCCGCAAACCGCAAATCTCATTACGATCCCCTCGAAGCATCGGATGACATCTCAGAGGAGCTCAAGTAGCTGTGGCCAGGGCGAAACAGTCGGTATGTATAAATGTATATACATCAATTCTTCAAGAATGGCAAGAAACTGACCCCACGGTGTTTTTTTTGTAGATTCAAACCATGCCGCTATTGATTCGACGGTCCAACGATCGGCTTCACTGGCTGCCGAATTGCAATCTCAGACTGTAGGAAGGGTCGTATCCGCATCAGTCTCTATCACATCAAGTAAGTCCAGCGTCATTTCCATTGGACCGCTATTTGTTCATTCAAGCCGAGCAACCATGACATTGAGCTATCCGCCAAATGCGATTGTTCTTATACCAGTCTCGAGTCCTTCCGCCGCGGAAATAAACAACCGTGGGTTTTTCTCCTGGTCATCAAAACTCTCACAGCCTTTATCATTTAAGCTCCTTGAAAAATACAACATATTGTAGGGACATTACCGGCCAGTTTGGAGCGTCTAGACCCAAGATTATCGCCTCGATCCAGACGAGAGGCTTGTATCATACCAATGAGTGATCAAGCAGATGCGATTGCGCCTGATGAGACCGCATGTCGCTCTGTCTTGTCACACAGTGGCACTGGTTCGTTCCTTGAGTTTTCCTGGCCTGCGTTCATTGTTTTCCAGGCTCAAGTGAAGATTTCATACGTAGATCTGGTAGTTCGATCTCCAACGCTTCCAAACACCGGCTTCGATAGACAATCACAGCTTCCCCTAACGGATACGTCTGCCTCGGCTCCAGTGGCTCCTTCGACACTTTGCAAGACACCTCCACCTCCTCATGTAAGAACAAATACAGAAGTTTCAGGTGACTCGAAGAAGCTTTCGCCATGCCTGTCGGAGTGTTCCTCGTCTCTTACCTCTTTGGCATCGGAGGATGATTCGTCTGATCAAGAACTCAACAATGCGTCAAGCGGGATAAAGTCACGGCGCTCCAAGCCAACCGGCCATCAGTGGACCAGGGCGTTATGGAGATCTTTCTCCGACGGCAAACTCGAGCAGGCTCCAGAATATCCCGTTATCGGACAAGAATTCGAGTCTCTTGAAGCGTATAAACAAGCGTGCTTGTTAGCTAGTTGGGCCCGCGGGCATCATATGGTATGTCTCAACTATTACTTGGTAGTGAGATGTCGCTTTGACGGACTCGTCTCCTGGACCAATCTCACTCACGCAGTCCCTATCTGCCATCTCAGCACATTAGGAACTCACAAAAATCCGGTTCGACTCTCAAGCACGTCTTGTCTTGCTCGTAAGTTATATTTTCCATTTAGAACCATACGATTACGCCACAGAGGGTGCTCATATCATTTTTCAATTCAGTAAGGACCGTGCACCGCCTAAAGGATGCAATTGCACTTTCCGTATTGCCGCTACATTAGATCAGTCCCTCAAGAATTCTAAATGGACCATCACCTATGTCTTCCTCCAGCATCACAATCATACCCCTAAACTTGGTGACATTGAGAATATGACACGCGATACAACTCAGAAACAGAGCCAGGCCACGAGTTTCTTCGGTCGCAGGCGGAGTGGGAAACATTCGATTTCAATGGACAATCAAGCAGATGGAATTGTACCTGATCTGTCCGCACCCAGCGATGTCCTAGCAAATTGTGGTTTGTGGTTTCGCTTGTAGTCGTTGTTTTTTAGGCTTATATGAATGGCATCGCCATATGTAGATCCGGTGATTACGTCTCAAGCGCCGCCACAGGCTATCCCGGGACCATCCAGTCTTTCCCTCGCCAATAAGTCTCCGTCAGCTACTGGGAATCCTTCGATACATCACAAGACACCTCCACCTCTTCAGTTGAGTGCGACCGAAGTGTCAGGTGGCTCGAACAAGGTTTTGTCATGGCCTTTAGAATGGTCATCACCTCTTACCTCTTTAGCATCTGAGGATGATTCTTCTAAAGAGCTGGAAAAAGTGAACCAGATACACTCACGACGTTCCAATCCAAATGGTCGTCAGTGGACCAAGGCGCTATGGCAATCTTTCACCGATACCGTACTTGAGCAGGCTCCAGAATATCCTGCTATCGGACAAGAATTCAAGTCTCTCGAAGCTTATAAAGAAGCGTGCTTGCTAGCCAGTTGGGCCCGCGGGCATAATATGGTTTGTCTCAACTATTACTTGCTGACGACGATACGCTTCAATGGACTTGTCTCCATACCCATGTTACTCACATAGTCCCCATCTGATTATCTCAGCACATCAGGAGCTCGCAGAAATCAAGTTCAACTCTCAAGCACGTCTTGTCTTGCTCGTAAGTTGATCGTGCAAAACATTTTTTCGCATGTATTCATCCGATTGTGCGGCAAAGTAGAGCTTATATGATTCTTGGTATTTAGTAAAGACCGTGCACCCCCCATAGGCTGTAATTGCACGTTTCGTATTGCCGCTACGTTTGATGGATCTCTGGAAAACCCAACCTGGATTGTCTCACATGTTTTCCTCCAGCATCATAATCACGCCCCTCAACCTGGGGACATAGAAAAAGCAAAGGGCACTTCAACTAGCAAACGAAGCCAAGCTAGATGTCATTCCGGTTGTATACACGCTGCAACACATTCGCCCACCACTTTGCGTTCGCGTCCTTCAGAGACAAAAGAGGACAAGGACAAATCGGGAAAGGACTTTCGAAAAGACGACCAACATTCTCTACTTCAGAGCAAAGAAAACGCTCGGTCGGCCCCCTATTCCGCAGAGAAGTCTTCAGACAGTCTCAGAGTAGCTGAGAATACACCTCGGACTCGCAATAGTACCAGTACGGCTTCCAAGATGTCTAATATGATGTCTTCGGTAGGCTTGAGGTCATCGAAGCGTAAACGTGATCGCTCAGATGACACAAATAGCTCTAAACGGTCAATAACATGTAAACTTGACAAATGATTTCCTTGCTTCGTTTTTTGTCCCTTCTATTATTCAATCCTATCTCCATCATTTCTTCCAATAGGATATTCCAAGCCTTCATTCACATCACTCTCAGGGGTCGTTGTTGGGATAACCTCTTTCATCTGTCAACTTCATTCTTCAACAATCCGAAGCTTTTCACCGTCGTTCACTATCTCGTCGTTTCAATTTGCCATTCAATAATATCGTATATCTTCTTGTTTGTTTGATTATAGGCTCACAAAAGTATATTAATTACCTTCTCATCACATTGCATTGCAAAGTTAATTTTCTTCAAAACTACAATGTCCAACATGAAGGGCACAACAGAATTTGGCAAATCTTGTACCCCATCATGAGTCAAATCTCTAGGTGGAGATCCCCAGCGTTCTTGATTTATCAATTCATTTTAGCAACTCTACATTTAGACTATTGCCCCATCAACACCCAAACCAATCTGATACGATGCAACTTTTTGGACACTTTGCATGTCGCATTGGGGGACTGACATATCTGAACCAATACCCAATACAATATGAAGACCAAAAACATCTTGCAGCTCATATTGTATGGCCCAAACAAGACGAGCCGATACAATATGGAATTTGTAGCACAAGTGCCATTTCAACTGCAATTGGGGTTCAAAGCAGTCAATTTATGAGGTGATCTCATGTTGGCTCAAGCCTGGATATTGTATTGTTGATACCCAACATGAAAAAAGGTGCTCCACATGTTGGGTCAGCTGAACCAATATGAGAAAATCCAAATACTTGTGTCCAATTGCCAATACAAAACCAATATGGTAACAACATCTGTGTTGTATTGGTTTGGGCGTTGGCCCCATTGCTATAATCCAACTAATTCTGATACTTTCTGACAACACCTGCCAATAATGTGACAATTTTTGGTGAGGTAGCTTTTGATCACAAAACAAACAAATATGTATGTTGTTTTCTCTTTGCTTGTTAAGGTGGGTTGGCCTGGTTGGCCCAGCTCTCACCCAATGCACACAGTTTAGTAGCTGTGTGAGCTATCCTACATGCTGAGAATGTAACCTAGGTCAAAGTACTGATATATGAGCTGACCTACATGCTGAGAGCATGACCTTGTTCAAACTCCTGGCCCGTGAGCTTCTTCACAATCTTGGCATGTAAAATGGTGTACAAACTGGCCGGGTGAGTTGACTCACATACTGACCATGTGAGCTCTCTTCACCCTGTGAATATTTTCCAAGCCTGTATACCTATATTTTCAAATTCTTTCTTATATTTTTGCTTTTAGTTTCTTCTTGTAATCTGTTTCTTAAGAATTTACACTGATATTAATGTGTTTCTTGAAATAGAAAGATGATGTAAAGATAAACCCATATGTATTATGGTTGATGTCATTAAAATTTGATTTTTCTGATTGGTCTGACTCTCATAGATTGATTACCACAACATATCGTTTACATCACAATCACCCCACGGTGTAGCAACCTGTTGCTGGGAGAACATATTCCACAGGTCTTTCAATTCTCTGGAGGAGGGAGGGTGTAACACCTAGCACAACCTTTTTCAACCCAACCCAGGCCGGGTAGCCCAAGAGCACTTGACATTTTATTGGGCCCAGCCCATTAGCCCAAGGCTAAAACCGGATTGGGATGCACATTTTGCACATTTTTGTGTTGGATGAAAGATAAAAAACACATTTCAAGCTTTGATTGCAACCACAGAAGGGAAGATTTGAAGATAACACAATTTTTAGAAAACACCAGGCAGCCCAAAGCCCACTCAAGCTTTCTGCAGGCTATCTCTGGGCCGGGAATAGCCTGGCCAGGCCAGGCCAGGTGCCACCTTTAGGATCAAGTCAGCTTCCAGCCTTGAAACCAGGTGGCCGTATGGAAGCAGCCCATTGACCACTGACTTACAAGCAGCCTCAAGGTGGCCAAGACGGCTTGCCTCAAAATGGTCTGCGAAGGGCCAAGCCACAATTTGGCCTATTGGCTGTCTTCATACCACATAACCAGCCACCAATGATCTCTTTCCCCAGAAATGATCTGAACACAGCCTGTGGACTGCCCACTCAGCTGGTCTTTGGACTACTTTTTCATCCCTTGGCAAAAATGAATTGCAACGAGTCAAATGAGAAAGACAATTTTGGGTCAAGTATTGTATGTAACATGATACAATAGGAGATATCATACTCCAGGATGTGTCTCAAATCGATTAAAATGTACACTCAGCACTTGACAAACAGATGACACAAAAGAGTGTTTCCTTTTTATTCACTTCATCACTGAGGTTTGAACTTAGAGCTGTTTGCTTTTGATTATAGTGCTACAAATTGGGAAGCCAGAAAAACCACTCTCTTCATGCTAGCATTGGTTGGGATTGATCTATTATTTGATTATACCAATGATAAGAAAGTCTACATGAACTCAAACATTAGACATTGGTCATAAGATAAAGCTGACTAACTGAGAAGCTACCCAAGTCTGTCTTGATTGTGAAATGTGGATCATAAAACTTACAAAAGCTTAGTAAGAAAAAATACTAAGATAACTCAATAGTGAACATGTTTTGGGTGAATTCCCCAGGCTAAGTGCCTAGGGTAAATAAATTGCTTGAATAAAAATGTATCTGACCCTACGGGGTGGCCAGCGGACAACAACTAATTATGAAACTACTACATGTCTACGCTAACATAATAAAAGAATTAAGAGAATGCCACACTTTTTTTCTAAAAAAAACAAAGCAAAAGATATTAAAATGGAACATAACCTAAAGGATGAAATATTAAAAAATGAATATAACCAAACACAAAAAATAAAGTGAAATGAAAAATATAAAAGTAAAAAATAAAAGACACCAAGACTATCTTTGATTTTAACACAAAACTTCACAAAGTATAATATCAAATGTTTGTGAATAAAAACCAGGGAAAGAAATGGGTGGGTGGGATGCAAAAAGAAATAGACAGATATAAGATTGATAGTTTAAAGAGAAACCAGATGTGAAAGCTATGGGAAAATTTGGTGAAGGATAGTCAACAGAATGATGACATCATACCTGTTGAACAGAATCAAGTCAACAGAATCCAACCCATTAGAAAAGTTACATGTGCATTAGAAGTCTGAATTTCCCACATTCCCATCAGCTAATAACATGTTACCAACAACTATTATCAACCAGGTCATTTCTTGACAGGCCTACAGGCCTACAGGCCAACTGGTATACAGGCATGGGCAATCCTCAATTTGTGTTGCAATTGTCAGCTGGTTCTTTGGTTTGGAGAAAAAAATATAAGAAGGTACCCACACAATCACAGTACCCCCTTGGCAGCCTACACTAACATGGTCATAAGTCATGCCAAAGAGGCACAACAGTGGTGTGGATGCTCTAAGCCACCACCAACAAAGTTACCTTGGGATTTTGAATCCAAGGTATCATCGGACCAAATTACCTTGGACAGAATGTCCAGGTAATTTTATCCAAGGCTGTTTTCACTTCCAAATAATGCGTGTGATCATCACCTTGGACATGCAGTCCCAGGTAATCTAGTCCAATGATGCCTCAGATACAAAACCCCAAGGTAACTTTGTTGGTGGTGGCTTAGAGCATACAGCCAAGAATGTCTAGAATTCTTTGATCCCGGATCTAAAAGCATGCGCTTCAGCACAAAGATCACAACACCGACAAGACTTTTCTAAAATGAAGAACTCTGACCTATAAACAACAATAATCTCATCAGAATGATAGAAGGAATTGAATCAAATAGAAAACAACTAATACTTATATGTAGGATCAGATTGATAGAGTGATTGATCAGTTTACTAAGTTGTTGATGATTGAAAACTGATCGCTGGTAAAGTAAGACAATAATGATCTTATTCAATCATAACAATGAGATAATTAAGATGGGGAAAAGAAGTAAGTTAAATCAAGTTACGATTATTATAGGTAGATCATCAATTTGAATACATTGGGGTAATTAATGATGTCATTTCATTTTTCACTTGATGACAACTTTCTGGTTTATCTGTCAATGCTGATTATGTATATCTTTTCTTGCCATTCATCATTTCTTCTTTCTGTCGATTGCACACTTCAACACATATTTTTCACATGCTCTGTGGTCCACAAATCCCAGTCTTCAGTCAAACAAGCTCGTGATCCTTAGTGAAGAGGCAGCTCAATAGCTGCTGGCCCCGGTGATGAGGATAACCTATAAGTTGAAAAGAGTATGCAGAAAACTTGAGGCGTCCTGGTATAATTGATTACATCTACAGCTTCAGCTAGATTACACAAAAATGCATAATTGATAAGAACTGGAATTTTAAGAAGCTTTATGGGGTACAAAGATCGTTGACTGTCATTAAGAAAAAAATTGCATATGGTTCTTGATATCCAGAGAAACAAATCCTGAGCCCAATACACTCAGGTATAGTAGCTGCAGAGTGTGGATGAAACATGGTAAGCAGGCATGCGCGGAGTCGATGATCAAAAGTAAACGTCTTGAATTGTGTGGGATATCAGTGTCTGAAATCGAAATTATAAGGAAGATTCTACTTTCTTTGCCTTCTGAAAGATGAGGCAAATAAAGATGAGAAAAATTTAATGAATTAAAATTGACCCACAAATATATGAATTATCAAAGCTTTGACCTAGTTTTATTGTGACACCCACGATCTCAATTTTCCTCGCAAGAAAATTGAATGTCCAGCGAATCCATTGGCAGCACTGTGTCTCGCAGTCTCTCGTCAATATAGATTAAGAAGTTTGGTGGAGATTCCTTCTTCATAGAATGCATCCAAATCTGAAAAAAAACACCCGGAGAAGCTCAGTGTATGATGTGAAGATTGTGTGGTCAAAGAGAGAATCAAATTACTCCAATATTTAGTCAAATCTTGTGCCTCTTCCTCTGCCACACCGTCCTTAGGCAGCCAGATCGCTGGAGATCTCTGCATCAAAACGGGTGGATACAATGTTTCGTGAGAGAAGGTCCCTGCCTCGTCCCAAGGAAGATCTGGAAGGTGGGGAGGAGCGTCCGGGTATGTCCTCAGAGCTAAACGAGTTTCAACTAAGTCATCAACGCTTTCACTTGGTAATGGGACCACTCTATGATTTGTGCCATGAGTCGAATTCAACGTAGTATTGACGATATCGATCACGGATTGAGTTGAATGTGGGCGAGAGTCTGGATTATTGTTTCCGGTACCTCGCTGCCCAAGCGCAGATGTCGCAGACGTTGAATGGATTGCGTGCTGTGGCCCCTTTTGAAACACCTCGAGCGCGAGTCTGGACTCCGGGTCTAATTTCTTTCGTGATTGGCGATTCCAGTCATGTAACATCATTGGACATGAGATTAAAAAGATCGAACAGGCGATGAAAAAGGAACAGGAGGCGAGATGCCACTGTTTTCGCGAGAATAGGATGAAGCCGACGAATGCGCTTTGGAGTCCCAAGGTCAGTGCAAGAATTGAGACCATGGTCAACTCTGTCCTTCCCCCATTCTGACTACTACGGCGATAGAGTAATCGGATGTTTCTATGCTGAACTAGGATCATGACTAAAAAAAAGAACAAAGCTGGCACAGTCTGATAGGTTTCAGATCAGATTAGTCATTTATTATGAAGTTCCATACAAATTTTGGAGCTGAAGATGCTCATGCGCGGAAACTCACTGTTAGAGGAGCAATCGGGAAAAATGACATCACCACTACTCCTATCAGACAAGTGGCACTTCGCGATATCCCTGAGTTCATATCGTGTGGCCAAAGACTCAAGACTCTTTCTCGTGGTGTTTGGGTCTGTTTGAGGACATTCCGTATCGATTTCCACCGGCTTGGCTGGGCCAGTACCAGCGCCGGTATGATTATTGCAAGCAGAGATTCGAATGCAAGAAAGAAGGAGGAGATGGTAGAGATACCATTGGCAATTTGGTGAATTTGATCACCTTCTTTGTTTTGTAGAGCAGAGCTGGCCGTGGCGCCCGAAAAAGTGAACCACGCGATAAAACAACAGATGATCATGATCATACTTGCTTTCACTTCAAGAATTTGTGCTGCAGAGTTTGAAGGGAGTCCAGAATGATTATGCGCAAGATATGATATGATCAATAAACTGGCTAGAAGAAGTGCACCTGACAAGATCGAGGGAGTGGTTATTGAGATAAGACTGAGAATTAGAGCACTGTCTGTATTAATTTTTTGAAATATCAAGGAATTTTGTCGAAGCTCCAGAGAGGCACTCGTAGTCAAAAGAGATATGGGTCCGACTGTGGCAGGGGTTTCAAAGGGTGAAGGATTTTTGACAGCTATCAATTTAGGTATCTGTAATGGATAAGATTCATTCACCTAAAATATAAGAAGCGTGGCAACTCACGGATTACACACACCAGAGTCACCAGGACACAGAAGCAACTCCAGAAGACACCTAATCCCACTGAAGCGGACTTTTTACCTAAATTTTTCCAATTGATATCATCGCGAGTCATTCCTATGATGTTTTGCGCCCCTTGTATCATATCTACACCTTTTCCGACAATGATCCATCCCCGTATGGCACCGTTGACGCCTTCCTCTAAGGTTTTGATGGCTTGGCTCCTGGCACTGAGGAAGTCATCATTCAGGCGTTTGAGATGGGAGCGATGTTGTCGGATCGCATGGTAAAGTTGCTTGATCTCATCCGATTTGACGGCACGGCGTAGTTTTAGTTTTTTACAAAGGGGAGCCTCAGAGTGAAAAGTCGATCTGGAAGCGGTCATGGGAGTGGCAGCTGTAGAGCGGAGTTGAGAAGTTGCTATAGATGGTGTTCTGAATTGAAGCTGGACTGGGATTGGTCCTCTTCTCGATGGATTTGAGTAAAAGGGATCTTCATATAAACCATTCCTAATGCTTTGGATTTCAGTGGTTTCGGGGTCTACGTGCCTTCCCTTGAGAGCTTGATGTTGGGAGACAGTTCTTGCCCAGCTCTGAGGATGAGGAACTTGCTTCGTAGTGAATTTGGAGCCTCGCTGTGAATGTGAAGCTACTGATCTCTGTGTTTTACTGCTCCTTTCAATGAAGGAAAGTGTTAAAGGAATCTCGCCATCACAGAAATTATGCTGAGAGGGAGTCTTGTTTACAAGTGAACGTCGCTCAGGCCGCTTCTCATCTTCACGATATGAGACTAGACTAACAGTCGAATTTGTGATAGGTGGATTGATGTGGCTATCATTTGACGAGTCTAGAGTCGACGTGCTTCCACGGTGAGACTTTGATGAGATCGACTTATTGAAGGAAGGGGATGCATGAGGGTCGTTGTAAGAGGGAAGTGGCAATCCCTCTTTCTCAGCTGTAAGAAGTAGATCCGATCTACTTGGAAAAGACGCTAAAGCTCGAGACGCTTGAGATTGTGGCACAAGTGGCGATACGGGGAAGAGGGTACCGTCAGTTTTCATTTCTACTTGGCATCCAACTGCCCACTGAATGATGAATAATGTCAAGCCGTCAGCCTATCAGAATGTCACCTGGAGAAAATGTGGAAACGGTAGAAAAGAGTCTAGAAATTTACCTTGGCCTGATAGCCGGCATTGGGAAGCTCCAAATCTTGCTCAACCTCGTTGAACTTCGGGGTTTGTGATGTTGCAACTTTTACTTCCTGCATGGGCACATCATCCTTTCCGACGTCCCAATCGAACCCCCAATCCGCCTGAGAAGTCCTTATTGATGGGCTTTTCCAATCGAAGCTCAACATCTCGAGCGGCGCGGTTTCGAGCTTGTAAAAGGCCGCTGGTGCAAAAGGAGTAACCTCTTCTTTTGGCTTTGACTTCTTTCTTGATTTCCAACCAAATTTCTTTTGGGTCCGTGAATGAGTTTTCTTTGGTACTTCTTCAAATTCTTCATCTTCGGAAACAAAGCTCGCAACGTATTTAGCTTCAGCAAGCTCCAAGTCATCGATGACCTTTTTTCGGCGATCAGACAAAGTACAGAGTTGATCCAGATCTGAGATGGTGAAGACGCCATGGATTATTACGGCTCTCTGGTCAAGCGAGTGATCTGAAGAACGGGAGCACGGATCCCTCTGACTTTGGTGTAGGCCCTCGCCGTCCGCGACTGCGTCGATATTGGCGTATGTACCAAATGAGCTAGGAATGAATTTGGACTTATTTTTACGATTCTTCTCTGCGGGCTGACTGCGCGCAGGGGGCTTATTGTGTAGTTTGAAAGCTTCCAATGCGTGACCGTCGCCTTCTGCTCCGGAAGGACCCAGAGCGCAGGCTCTCACCCATCGGAGCATATCTTTCTCGCCAATTTGATCAAGGCCACAAGTCGAGGATGAAGGGAGGAAGACGATTTGAAGCTTGTCGCATTTCTTCTGTGAAAAACGCTGAAGGTGGTACCTGAGAAAGATCCATTCGGCTAGCACTAGGAGAAATCCGATGACACTACCTATGACTAGGGAAAATACCCCCCAGAGTACGAGCTTGGTAGAGTAGCGAGCAGGTGAGAGATCATACGAGTAGATCAATCTAAGAACCGTGAAGTTTTCGAGAGAGCTAGGAGCAATCTCAGGGGGTTCAAGTGGTACTTCTGAAATGAATAATACGAAGCAGACGGGGATCCCGAGAAGGAGTCCGAGGAGCGTGATTCTCAAACAAAGTGCCAAGAATCGAAGGTGGATCTCCTCATCAGTGAACAAGCGAGGATCGTTATCTTTCGCACACTCTGATGAAGACTCGTTAGGATGTATCAAACGCCAGGAAGACCCTGCGAGCAATAGAGCAGTTGATTTGAGCAGCGAGTAAGCGGGGAGTGGATCGAAAATTCGGTGTGCTCGCTTTGTTGGATCAGGAGGCCACCAGGTTCGTGGTACATAGACCGCTTTCCAAAGGGTAGAGGTGGGGTGATGATAAGCGCGGAAAAAGATGAACTAAAGATATTCGCACGTACGAAGCCGAATGGATGAAGTGAAAGATTTGGAGAAGTTTGACGATCAATCAGGCTTGTATGTCTGGAGAAATGGTCACTCAGCATATCATGACTCACTAAAAGTGGTGAGGTGAATAGAGCTGCTATCACCAAGTTGATGATGATTCCCCATGTGAATACGTCAAGGTGTGCAGTCAAAGGCATGATTGATGACTGTCTTCACAAACACAGACAGTCCACCAACTCAGGTCTTGCAGACCAGGCTGCACTCGATTGTCCTCCACCAATGTGCGAGTCCTCTTTGAAGATGGTTACGGAATGATTGGGGGAAATTGGGATTATGATTAATCTGTGAGGACTTGCTTGATCTTAGATGAGGTGGGAATTAGATTATTGAAGACGAGATCAATTCAAGCGATGATGGTGATCATCAGCTTTCTATGGGGTCGAAGAAAAAAAGTTTGTAGGGATGGCCAAAGCAGCATGACGACTGATTCGCTACCTTGACAATCTCAAGTCCCAAAATGCTTAACCCAGAGCCCTGATGAAGCTCGGTAACTCCTTTGTATCGCCTCCCTCGAAGCATATCACCACCCTATTTTATGATAGCCTAGTATGTATCAACGAGCGCAGCACAGAGTCCTTTTTGCAAGGGGGTTGAACAAATAATGATTGATCCAACTTAACTAACACGTTTTCCTCGCGGGCTCGGTTGTCTGCAGAGGGACTTGGGAATTATCAGCCGGTCTTGGTGTGTGGGCAGGGAGTGCAAAATTCGAGTTTGGCTGGAAGGTTTTTCAAAAACGCAAAAGCACCCACTTTGTCTGGATAAACCTCGTGCCCATTTCAACGAGAGCTACTTGTGACAATTGCCTTCAAATAGGACCCAGGAATGAGCCTATAGATGTATGTGACGAAACGTATTTTTCAGTTTTTGGGCTCTACACAACGCACCACTCTTCGTCTGAAGGTGCAGATCACATCAAAAGATGCGCATGAACTAGGGCTATCAATTGAGCCTATTCAGAAGCTCACAAACCCTCTCACTTTGGCGCAAAATCGATTGGCGCAAAAAAATTTTCGTGCCCCCAAGGCCTGATTCTGACCTTGAGTTTTAAGGCTGTTTTTTACGGCTAATGTCATGTTTTTATACTCACAACAGCAAGATTTTTGGTCATTTTTTTGTTTTTGCCCATTATGAGGGTCACAGACCTCATCAAATCTTGCTTCCATCGGCAAGGATCTTCATTTGCACTACATAGACTTTTTCCGGGTCATGTCCAGCTGCAAATAAAAAACCAATACACAGCAAAATACACACAGCTTTGGGTACCATGAATGTTGTAAGATTTCACAATTGATTGATTATCAAAGAACTGAATAAGAAAATTTAACAATTTTGCTTATCTCAATTCAGATCACCCAATAGACCTTTGAAGTAAATCAGGAAAAACTAACACAATCAAGACTAGAAAAACACTATTCATAACATCATAACCAAACATTATCTTTCAATCACATTTCTAATCCGGCCATTGACAATCCAATCCATCCCATTCAGAATTGCATATGTTTTACAAGTTGATAAAAATTTTGATCTCTCTGGTGGTAAATACAGTCAAACCAGAATCGCTTGGCCGATCCAATTTTTATTTAATCTTTTTCACAGCAATACAGGCAAAGCTATAAGCATATATAGCCTTCAATCGAGATACCCTCGATTGAATTTGGGCTGTTGACCCTTTCACCTCATTGCCCTCGATCCACCACTCCTTCACCACTCCTTCACCTTCCAATACCTTCCAATATCTTCCAATATCTTCCAATACCTTCCAATAGCCCCAATACCCATGCGATACCAACATGCCCACCCGAAAAACTAAGAAAGAGCTCGCTGATGAAGAAGAGGCGAGAAAGAAGGATTTGTAAGTTCAATTTCTATCGTTTCTTTTCATGATCATTACTAATGGTCATATTTTATAGTGCGCGACGCCGAGCCCGTCAGGCTGGGCCAGAAGGCCTTAGTCCTGATTCCGGCAGGACTGGGACTCCTTGCTATTTTGATAAGTGAGTTCCTAACCTTTTTTTTCTCTTTCATTGTCTGAGTCTGATCATCTTCTCTTTGGTTTTCAGACCCGGTCATCATTGGGAGAATGGTCGATACGGTAAACAACAATACCGCGATATCGATTTGGTCCATGTCAACCCCTTTGCCAAGGTAGGCTTTCGGGAGTTTCCTTGTCCCTTTCATCTTCGTCCTGGTCAGTGTTTTGTCTCAATTTACAGCCTCTCATATTATTTCAACTAACTTGTATCGCATCTATAGATGCCCACGTCGATACCGCTCCTTTACCGAGTTCTAGTCAACAAGCTGTTCAAGGATCTCCAACCGCGGCCGTTGGAGACCACCATCGCAATGATCCAAACGTGGTCCATAGAGATCCCATGTTTGGTGGTCAAGCGACTGGAACTCGAGTTCGTTCGGCTGGGTCAAGTGAGTGTTCCAATGTTTCTATCTATTGAAACCTTGGTTGATATTAATCCTGAAATTTGTTCTTTAGATCCACATATTGATGTGGATCTGACGGTTTCACCGAGTCCAGCTCCACAAGCAACTCAAGCTTCCAAATCGCCCGTTGTAGCCACCACCGAATCCAAACCGACCCGTGCAAAACTCGCCTTCCACGTTTTCATAGCTGATGGCCTCACGGATGCCCAGAAACGGTCAGGTGTTCCATTAACCTACTCCGACCATCACACCAAGCCATATTTTGACATCCTCCTCCACATCCATGGCCGATCCCTTCTGGATTTGAAGACTGATCTATTTCGGGCATGCAACGCACACATGAGAGGATGTGGCACTTTACTCAGAGATGCCGATGACGAAGGACGAGTAACCCTCAAGGGCTACATTAATTACGGTGAGGCTTTTGGTAAGTCACTGTTGCCGGTAATCAACATGGAATCCATATTGGACGATTTCAAGAATATGATGATCAAGAAACCCAACAACGAGGTTGGGTTTTGTTTTGACATGATGAACCCAAAGACTCAAGAACAAACTACTTCTAAGGTAAGTCAAATAATCTTCTCAATCTCAATCTTGAAGTGATACGTCCATTAACATCTTGAATTAACAAACAGGCATTAAAATTCAATCAAGCAATGCACCATCATATTCCTAATGCATTGGCTCCGGCTCAACAAGATGAGATAGAGATGCCGGTGTGTTTCTTTCACCTTTACTTTCTTTTTCCAATTTTTTTCTGATCAATCATCCTCTTCATCGCTCTTCTACAACAGAGTATAGATATCGATGCAGCAGTTCAGGCCCAACTAACGACGTTGATGGCCTTGTATAGTGATTTCTTGATTAACGGCAGGGAGTGCATGGGATGTCTTAACATCGAGAACCCCGACCAGGCGATGTCGATCAGTCATCTGGGATTTGACATCTGGGCAAATGATCTTGTAAGTTCCTCTCAGCTCCAATCTTCATCTTATTTTATGAAAACAAGAGACTAACTATCCTTGATCTTTTTGACACAGGTAAAAAAGAAACAAGGTGTCACAATCAGGAAACCACCTCGCGGCCCGGAGTTCAAATGGGTTTCCTTGGTTCCGACATCGAAATCAAACAACCAATCAACCTCGAATTCTGCGCTCGACACCATCAGTGCTCTGCTGGCCTTGAACAACAACAAAAACCAAGCAGCTGTTGCTGCACCTCAATCAGATTTACCATCCCCAGGGACCCCTCCTCCAATTGAGGACTACCTCAAGTTTTGTTTGATCGGCCCAGAGGATCAAAAAACTCGAGACCTTGTCAAGAAATATAATATCGTGGATTTCGAAATGTTTTCATCCGAAGAGCTTAGTTTTGCAAAGATGAGAGAGTTTGGGTTCAAATTTGGACCTGCTCTTCGCCTTCATCAAAAGCCTACGTTGTATCGAGAGGAACTCAAGAAGAGAAACAGATTGGCTCTGTCTTAATCCTTCTTTCTTCCGACCTTAAAAAAAATGTACTGATCCGCCCTCTTCTCAAAGAGTACTGTTAAAATTTGTAGCTACAGTATACTATAACTAAAGTACTTGTATACATTATTATCCGCCTGTTTTGTATGACTGTTGTGTAATGAAATGGTTTTTTAGTGAAACATTTAATGCGCCAAACTACTCACTCAATGTTTTGAGTCATTGATTTGATAAAACTGAGATATGATCATATTGACAGAAGTTCATGATCATGAACTGATCATGAACTGTTGAACTGTCGAAATCTTGAGCTGTCGAAATCAGTTCATGATCATGAACTGATTTCTACAGTTGCTGACTAACACAGAAATCAGTCCATGCCATCGCATCAATCATAAATTAGTTTGCTATTTGAATCAAATTGATTCATGTTCAAGTTGCACTCAATTGTGTTTAGAGTAGAGAAAAATAAGTTCATTTCTTCAATCATTTTGGATAAGATACACGTGTTTGATTTTTTTAGAAATAGAAACATGAAGAAATTTTACAACTTTGTTCTTTACACCTCTGCATACTCTTTTTTTCTGTACCCACAAGTCGCATAAAGACTCTTCATGAATGTGCTGGTACAGATATGACTCATTACTCTCTTCATACAACCCATCTTGTCCAGCGCCTCAGCAAAAAGCCCGTTCCGACGAAGGGCATCCTTGAACACCTTGAACGTTCGCTCGATTGGGTTGAAAGATGGCGAATAAGGTGATAAGTAAACTAGGACAACCCCTACTGCATCACACAGCGCTTCAATGGCTCCACGGTGATGGATTGACACGTTATCCAAGACCAAGACCGAGTTTCGCTCTGGGTACGGCCGCATGACAGGAAGCTTGATTAAAATCCGTGATAATCAGCTTAACTTGCTCAATAACAATTCAAAGAGAGAGAAAACACTTACTAAAACGTGTTTTAAAAATGCTTCGAATTCGTTTCGGTGGTAGGCATTCACCTTGGCGTTGACTGCCAGTAACCCCAACTCGCAGATCGCCGCTAGCATGCTATAGTGAGAACCGGCCCTGGTGCGTCTCAAAGCCTTTGGACGTTCTCCTTTTTGAGATAGAACCTTGTTCCTTTGCACATCCTGTGGCCGAAGACCGGTCTCGTCTTCATATATATAAGAACAAAATGAAATCAGAATCATGGAGATTGTGGATTGGAATGAAGAAGTG